AATATTATTGGCTTGCTACCACCGCCACCTTCGCCACCACCGCCACCACTGCCACCATCGCCACCACCGCCTCACTACCTCAACTGCTACTGCTGCATATATATTGTACTATCCTGCAAATTTTATTTATTTAGAGCAATATTATTAATATTAAAACAACCATTATATATCACAAATATTATTGGCTTGCTACCACCGCCACCTTCGCCACCACTGCCATCACCGCCTCACTACCTCAACTGCTACTGCTGCATATATATTGTACTTGTACTATCCTGCAAATTTTATTTTTTTAGAGCAATATTATTAATATTAAACAACCATTATATATCACAAATATTATTGGCTTGCTACCACCGCCACCATTGCCACCACTGCCACCACCGCCTCACTACCTCAACTGCTACTGCTGCATATATATTGTACTATCCTGCAAATTTTATTTTTTTAGAGCAATATTATTGATATTAAAACAACCATCATATATCACAAATATTATTATATATACATACATACATATATATTATATATACATACATACATATACATACATACATATCTTGTACTAGCCTTCCATTTGTACTGAATCTTTATAATAGAGTAATAACCTTTATAAATCAGCAATATTAATTAGTGATTAGTGATAATAGTGATTAGTGATAATACTAATGATTAGTATAGTGATAATACTTTACGTAAGTCTACTTTCCCTCTCATGTCTAATCACAGATATGGACTTCAATTTAACATTACGACTAGTAATTATTTGCACCTTCTCTTGTGTATTCTACTCGCTGGTGATATAGCAACTAATCCTGGACCTGCCTGCAATTCTTCATCTCTCGGATTAAAAGTTCTGTATTTTGATGCTAGAAGTCTAAAAGCACTTGTTCACCCAACTGGGGACAACTCGGTAAAAATTTGTAAAATCTCGTTGCTGCAACAATTGACATATAGCGGTAATTACGACGTTGTATGTGTATGCGAGACTTGGTTAAACAATTCAATCTTAAGTAGTGAAATCTTGCCTAATTATGGATCTGTCTTTCGTTGTGACAGAGTTGGCAGAATTGGTGGTGGTGTTCTTGTTGCTGTGAAGACTGGTATACAAGTTACCCGTCGACATGACCTGGAACCTGAAAACACCGAAATTGTCGTTATTGAAATGTTGAAATCAAACAGCAAACCAGTTGTACTTTATACGTTCTACCGTCCTCCAAACTCTATGCCTGATGTTCTTCAGTCATTAAATAACTCCCTTCAAAGAAATTCGGAATCCAGCCGTGTTGTAGTGATAGGAGACTTTACTGAATCTACCATCTGTTAAATGGTCCTCTGATCAACATACCCCCATTAACATCGGAAGTTCTCCTGAGAATGAAGCTTTCTGCGAATTAGTCGAAGACAA